ATGAATTGATACACTCATTTTTTTTCTTCTTCAGCCTATTGATAACAGTGAATTAAATGGTCTTTCCTTCCAGTAATGAACCAGCCCTTCATACCTGAAATTAAGTTCCTCATAAAATGTAATCCCAGCTACTCGGGAGGCTGAGGCAGGAGAATCACTTGAGCCCAGGAGACAGAGGTTGCAGTGAGCCGGGATCATACCACTGCAGCCTAGGTGACAGAGCGAGACTCTATCTCAAAAAGAAAAAGAGTCGAGAAGTGTTCCCTCTTCCATCCTCCTTTTGAATGTTCAGTAAAATTCTCCAGTGAAACCATCAGGATATGGGGGTATCTTTTTCAAGGATGCTTTTATTACAAATTTGGTATCTTTAATGGTTTCAGAATTATTCAAGTTCTTGATTTCATCTTGGCCAAGTTTTAGTACTTTCTGATTTTTGAGGAATTTGTCCATTTCTTCCAAGTTGTATATGCATAGAGTTGTTCACAGTACTCCTTTACTACTGTTCTAATGGCTGCAGGATCTGTTGTGATATTCTCTGTTTCATTCATATTAATGGTTTGGGTATTTTTTATCTTAGTCTTTTAGATATACACCAATTTTATTATTTTTGAAGGACCAGCTTTGTGTTTCACTAATTTTTCTCTATTGTTTTCCTGTTTTCAATTTCATTAATTTCTGCTCTATCATTTCCTTCCTTCTGTTTGCTTTGGATTTAGTTTGTTCTAACTTTTCTAGTATCTTGAAGCAGAAACTTAGATTACTGAATTCTTTCTTTATAATTTAAGCACTTGGTGCTATGTAGTTCCCTTCCAGCACTTCATTAGATGCGTCTCAGAGTTTAATTTGTTCAGTTTTCATTTTCATTCAATTCTGTGTATTTTTCAGAATTTCCTTTGAGAAATCAAGAAATTCCATTTACCATAGCTACAAATAAAATACCCAGGAATTAACCAAAAAAGGTAAAGATCTCTACAATGAAACTATAAAACACTGATACAAGAAATTGAAGAGGACACACAAAATAAAAATATATTCCATGTTCATGGATGGAAGAATCAATACTGTTAAGGTGTTCATATACTGTTACAGTGTTCATACTACCCAAAGCAATCTTCAGATTCAATGCAATCCCTATCAAAGTATAGAAAATATAATCTTAAAACTTATGCAGAACCACAACAAAAGTCCCAAAATAGGCAAAGCTCTCCTAAGGAAAAAGAACTAAACCAGAGGAATCACATTACCTGACTTCAAGTTACACTATGGAGCTATGGTACCAAAATGGCATGGTACTGGCATAAAAACAGATACACAGACCAGTGGAACAGAACAGACAGCACAAAAATAAACCCAATAAATCTACAGTGAACTCATTTTTGCCAAGCTTACAATAAACAAGAAAGGACAGTCTCTTCAATAAATGGTGCTGAGGAAACAGAATATCCATATGCAGAAGAGTAAAACTAGGCCCCAACTTTCCCCATATAAAAATTAAATCAAAATAGATTAAAGATTTACATCTAAGACCTCAAAATATGCAAGTACTACAAGAAAACATTGGAGAAACTCTCCAGGATACTGGAGTGGGCAAAGACTTCTTGTGGCAAAGACCACATAGGCACAAGCAACCAAAGCAAACATGAATAAATGGGATCAAGTTAAAGAGCTAAAGCTCTTTAAAAAGTTAAAAAGCTTCTGTAGTGAAGGAAACAACAAAGAGACAACCCACAGAATGGGAAAAAATATTTGCAAACCATCCATCTGATAAAGGATTAATAACCAGAATATATAAGGAGCTCAAACTACTCCACAAGGAAAAAAATTAATAATTCAATAAAAATGGGCAAAAGATCTGAATAGACATTTCTCAAAAGGCATACAAATGGCAAAGAGGTATATGAAAAGGTACTCAAAATCACTGATCATCAGAGAAATGCAAATCAAAACTACAGGGAGGTAGTTTTGACTACATCTCACTCCAGCTAAAATGGCTTTTATCCAAAAGACAGGAGACAACAAATGCAGCCGAAGATGTGGAGAAAGGGGAACACTTGTGCATGGTTGGTGGGAATGTAAATTAGTACACCCACTAAGGAGAATAGTTTGGAGATGCCTCAGAAAACTAAAAATAGAGCTACCATACAATCCAGCAATCCCACTCCTAGGTATAGACCCAAAGGAAATCAGTAAATTGAAGATATATCTGCACTCCGTTTGTTGCAGCACTATATAAAATAGCCAAGATTTGGGAGCAACCTATGTGTCCATCAACAGATGAATGGATAAAGAAATGGTATATACACACAATGGAGTATCATTGAGGCACACACAAAAGAATGAAATCCTGCCATTTGCTATAACATGGATGGAACTGGAGGTTAAGTGAAATAAGCCATTTACACAAAGACAAACATTGTATGTTTTCACTTCTCTGTGGGAGCTAAAAATGAAAACTGAACTCATGGTGACACAAAGTAGAAAGATGGTTACTAGAGGCTGGGAAAGGTAGTTGAGGTGGAGGGGGATGGTTAATGAGTACAAAAAACAGAAAGAATAAATAAGGCTGAGTGCGATGGCTCACACCTGTAATCCCAACACTTTGGGAGGCCAAGATGGGCAGATCACTTGAGGCCAGGAGTTTGAGACCAGCCTGGCCAACATGTCAAAATCTCATCTCTATTAAAAAAAGATACAAAAATTAGCTGAGCCTGGTGGCATGCACCTATATAGTCCCAGGTGCTCCAGAGGCTGAGGTGGAGGATCACTTAAGCCTAGGGAGGTGGAGGCTATAGTGGACTAAGGTAGTGTCACTGTACCCCAGCCTGGGTAACAGAAGGAGATCTTGCTTAAAAAAATTTTAATTGTACATTTAAAAATAATTAGAAGAGTGTAACTGGACTGTTTGAAACACGAAGGACAAATCTTTGAGGTGATAAATACCCAATTTACCCTGATGTGATTGTCACACATTACATGCCTGTATCAAAATATCACATGTAACCCACATATACACCAAGTACACACACACACACTCCTTTGAGACTTCCCCTATTTGAATATACACTTTGAAGGAAGTGTTACTACATGAGCCTGAAACATCTTGACATACAGATAACCACAAGTGTTGTTTAAAAGAAATGAGAAGTCCAATCAAACGTGGGACATATGAGCATCAATAACATTAATAATTCAGAGGTTTCAAACATCAAATATGTTAAAATTTCACTAAGAAAAAAATTTATCACAGTTGGTAGATGCCAAAGCAACTCATTCTGAAAAAATTGATAGGTAAAGGAAAAGCATCACATATCTGTATCTTTCTTACACAAACCATACCACTACCAAATAGCAGATGAGGGGGAATTTCTCTTTGCAGAGAAATGTTCTTGCTTATACATGAAGAAGGAATATAGAATTAAGATATCATTATTTTGCCACATCTAATGAATAAGTGGATCAAAACTAAGCATCAATTGCTACTCAAATCCCAGAGAAAGCAATCAGTTTGTGCCTCCTGATCAGGAAGACCACATCACTACCTAAAGTGGTCTTGTCAAAAAGAAAGGAAAAAGAAAAAAAGAAAGAAAAAAACCTCTAATCAAGTATCTATATTTACTTATCAATTTATAAGCTACAGAGAGGGCAAGAACATGTTAAAGGTACTACAGGGTTGCAAGCAACAAAGTCAGACTGGGGAAACCTGTCAGCAGTGCTTCCCCAACTATGTGCTTTTTCAGTTTTGTTTCTTTTTCTCCCTAATTTTCAATTCACTATAGACCAATAATTCTAAAAAATACACATACAGGCCGGGAGCGGTGGCTCACGCCTGTAATCCCAGTACTTTGGGAGGCCAAGGCAGGTGGATCACGAGGTCAAGAAATCGAGACCATCCTGGTCAAAACAGTGAAATCCCGTCTCCACTAAAAATACAAAAAATTAGCTGGGCACGGTGGCGCGTGCCTGTAATCCCAGCTACTCACGAGGCTGAGGCAGGAGAATTGCCTGAACCCACGAGGCGGAGGTTGCGGTGAGCCGAGATCATGCCATTGCACTCCAGCCTGGGTAACAAGAGCGAAACTCCGTCTCAAAAAAAAAAAAAAAAGTAAGATTCTTATTCACTATGACTGTGCTTCTTTAGTTTACAGGCACTGTCTAATCTTTTAATAGCTCTTCTCCCTCTTATTAACCGGATTCATCTATATGGTTTTAATTCCAACAGACTCGACAGCAAGCCACTCCTCTATCTCACCCTCTTGTCTGTGACCTGTAGTATTCTGTAATTTTATTCAGGAAGTGGTAAGTCTGAACTAAGCATGCCTTTTGTTCTCCACACCACTTCTTGTTGACTGTGAGGTCACTCTTGTTCTGTGCTGGAAATAAGAGATCTAAAAGAGGTAGGGTTTTTTTTTCTTGTTGTTCCCTTCATTCATCCTGTTTATTATTAATTGGTACACTCTATCTGGAGGCATCAAATACTAAAACAATCTGAAGTAAGCAGACTGATGTCTGAAGAATGGCCCAATCTAAAAACTTAAAAGTATAGGGCTAGGTCCATTACCTACTGGCCATTCAATTATTTTTTCGTGCCTTTAAAACTTCTTATAAACATATTCAACTGTAATTCAAATGGTTTGAAAAGCCACTCTGATGGCCCACAAGAAGTAATGCTGCTCTATAGATTCAAGCTAATAGTAAATGACTAGCTTGGTGTTACCTTAAATGGGTTCTGGTAGAACAGCAGGTGTTAACCAGAAGCAGAATAAATAACTTTATAACACATATAAAAATCAAGCAGTTTCATTCAAACCTATCTGGGCAAACGTGCTGTAATCTAAATTTATCCAGAAAAAAATGAGAATTTTAAGAAACCCATGACCTGTATATATACATGAATGGCTGAAGCAAAGTAAAACACTGTCATGCTATGAGTTCCAGTGATACATGAAGAATCCCCAAACATCTGAAATCACAGGAGTTGTAGTGAAAAAACTTGTCTGCAATCAGAGGCAAGGAAGTCTTTAATAAATCAGCCACAAACACAGATGGTATTTTAAATATACAGTAGGAACATTTATTTTAACACTTCTAAAAGATATTTCTCCATGCCTGATGATTTGATATAAAAATCAAACCCATCATACTTTCCCCATCAGTCTGTCTACATCAAGGGTAATCAGAAATTTGTACAACACGAGTATTTGCTTCTGAAATGAAAATTACAAATTAAATTATAACAAAAATACACAAATCCACTGGACCCTAAACAAATTTCTAGTGACTTCTTTCCCCTTTCCCCCAATCACCTACAGCTTCTTTCTTCAGCCTCATTCTGTTCCTTTTCCTTTCTTTGCTTGGCCATGAATTTCTGTTAAAAGCAATTTGCAACATGAAATACTTATTAGATGTTGTTTTGCTATGTGTACAAACTTATCTACTGTATATCATTGTATTTATAATTTAAGAGACTGATCCTACAAAATAATTATTATAAACACGGTGCCTTATATGAACATTTCTTCCTTTCATTCATCAGTCATCTGATGTTTACAGTATACCAGGTATATGCTTGGTGCCTGAGGATTCGATGGGCAACAAGACAGTTAGGATCTTTTATACCCTAGAACTTACATTCTAATGGGAGAAAAAAAAAAACAATAAAAGAAAAAAATAAAATAACTTGGGGGGGTGGTTAAGCACTTTAAAAAGAATGCAACAAGTAATTGAGGTTGAACTTTTTTGGGGGTTCTACTTAACTAAGTCTTTCTAATGCAAAGACCTTTCTGGGGAACTGACACTAGTTGAGATGAAAAACATGAGAAAGAACTGGCCATGCAAGTAGGATTGGGAAGGGGCAAAAGAACAGGAATATAAAGGTGCAAAGGCAGCAACATGCCTCTTATGTATGAAAAATGAAACAAAGAGAGCCAGAAAAGCTGGAACACAGAAAGCAACTAAAAAAACTGAGTTCAGAGAAGTAGAAAAGAATCAGATCATGCAGGGCTCTGGGCCCAAAAGAAGAAGTTTGGGTATTAGACCAACTGCAATATGAAGCTACTAGAAGACTGTAAATAGAAAAGTGACATGATAAACTAAGTTAAGCACACAGGTAGCAAAGCACAATGTATAAGAACTTGGGCCTAGAATGAAATAGTGCTGAGTTCAAATCCTAGGTCTGCTACTAACTAGCTATGTGACCTTGGGTTTAGATACATAACCTCCTTAAGTCTATTTTCTCATCTTTAAAATTGGAATAATAGCATCTACCTCATAAAGTTGATGAGGAGATTAAATAAGCTTCCAGCACAGAAGAGTTCAATAAATGTTAGATGAGTGTGCCACAAATTCAATAGAGAATATTTGATAATAAAATTATCAAAAATAAAATTATCAAATATTCAGCAGGAACTAGAACCACTGCTTCAATTATGGCTAATGATGATTCTCTAGAGTAATATTTCTTAAAGATGTGTACAATTTAAAAAAGGTTTTATGATTAAATGAATTTGACAAATGGGCTGCGTAAAGTTAGGCTGGATTCGTTCTCACTAGACAATTCAGAAACTTTAATATGCTAACGTGTACATGACTGAAGAGGGCATCAAAATATGCAGTTTTTTACTTTAATAATGGAGTGTCGTATGAGACTAGTGATCTGCAGAATCTACTCTGGCAAATGTTGCTGTTCAAAAAAAAGGAGAAAGGGCTAGACATTACTGGCAAGGTACACTGAAGGTGAAAACAGTATTCTGAATTTAAGCAGAATACACTGGCATAAAAACATTCGCCTAAAGTGAGGAAAAAATGTTTGGGGTAGATAAATAATTTGATTCTAAGACAATAACACCACCTCAAGATTTTGTAAGAATTTTAAAAATTACCTCAGTATTTTGCTTATGACGTGTACTCTTGCAGTGATTTGTCATTGCTTTTTCACCTGAGTAGAAGAGGGAACAAATTGGACAGAAGAATCCAGCCTTAGGTACAAGAAAGTCTAATTCTAGAGGATAAGAAGAGACAAGAGGAAAATTAGCAATAATTTATCTCCAGTGGTGTTCATCAATTTATTTATTTATTTGAGCCTATCGTCCAGGCTGGAGTACAGTGGCGCAATCTCAGCTCACTGCAACCCTCTGCCTCCTGGGTTCAAGTGATTCTCCTGCCTCAGCCTTCCGAGTAGCTGGGATTACAGGTGCATGCCACCATGCCCTGCTAATTTTGTATTCTTAGTAGAGATCAGTTTTTACCATGTTGCCAAGGCTGGTCTCGAACTCCTGACCTCAGGTGATCTGCCCGCCTTGGCCTCCCAAAGTGCTGGGCTTACAGGTGTGAGCCACCATGCCTGGCCTCCATCAATTTATTTAAACATGACAAAAATATTAAGCATAGTATATGCTGAAATACAAGCACAGTATATACTGCTATTAATTTAGAGATCATAACTCTTTATTTCATTAACACATTCTATAGTATTCTAGAGCCTCTAGGGAATGCCAGTATGCCACTGCTTTGGTATACTGCCAAGCTAAACAGATTCCCATGGAGCATCTTTAGATAACAAAGAACTGTTCAATAATCCTTCAGAATACCAAGTCATTAGATAAGAATCTAACAGTCTACAGTGGCTCAAGCCTGTAATCCCAGCACTTTGGGAGGCCGAGGCGGGCGGATCACGAGGTCAAGAGATCGAGACCATCCTGGTCAACATGGTGAAACCCCGTCTCTACTAAAAATACAAAAAATTAGCTGGGTGTAGTGGCGCGTGCCTGTAATCCCAGCTACTCAGGAGGCTGAGGCAGGAGAATTGGCTGAACCCAGGAGGCGGAGGTTGCAGTGAGCCGAGATCGTGCCATTGCACTCCAGCCTGGGTAATAAGAGCAAAACTCCATCTCAAAAAAAAAAAAAGAGAGAGAATCTAACAGTCTAACAGAAACCTCTGGCTGAGAGCTGTGGCTAAAGCCTGTAATCTCAGCATTTTGGGAGGCCAACACTGGCAGACTGCTTGAGCTCAAGGGTTTAAGACCAGCCTAAGCAACACTATGAAACCCCGTATCTACCAAAAATACAAAAATTAGCCAGGTGTGGTGGTAGATGCCTGTAGTCCCAGCTATTCAGCTACTCAGGAGGCTGAGGTAAGAGGACTGCTTGAGCCCAGGAAGATGGGGCTGCAGTGAGCTGAGATCACACCACTGTACTCTAGCCTAGGCAACAGAGTGAGACCCTGTCTCAAAATAAAATATAATAAAGTAAACCTCTTAGGAATCCCGTTAAAATACAAGAAAGAAAAGAGACGGAATGATGGGTAACTGTCTGATTGAGGAGTATGCTGGCTGAATAAGGTCACCCTCAGCTCACCTTAGCTTACTATGAACAAACTTGGCTAGCAAAGATTTTCAGCATGTTCTGCTTAGCTGGAGTGAGTTTCTGCCTGGGCAAGTATAACTAAATTCTCAACAGAGTGGCAAAGAAAGCTCCAGGAATAAAAGAGGAGATACATCCCAGATTTCAAATATGCAATAAAAATATCCTTCTCAGGTAAAAACAGTCCAGTCACAGCTGTCTTCAAAAATGCCACTGTGTAAAACATGCAAATTTCCACTATAAAATGACAATGCAGGCAAAATTACCCAATTACTTATCTAAACAATAGAACAGTTATTACGGTATTGAATTTTTATTTCATATGGATAAGAAAAAAATGTCATTTTAACTTTACCTTCAGGGACATCAGATGCCACTGATTTGCCTAAAGAAGGGTCTTCAGTCTTCTTGCGTTTTCGCTCTGGTTCTGAATCCTTTAATCCAGCTTCCTCATCAACTAAAATTTTTCAAGGGAAAAAAGCTATTCAGAATAGATTTACAGATTTGGTGAAGTTAACACTGGATAACTCTTACCTTAAAAAACTCAGAGGAACCCTCCCTTGGTTAATCCCATCTGACTATTCTTCACACAATGTTCTCCAAGATTCTTTGATATGAGGAATAAATGGGTAAATCCATTCGAACGGATTTAGGAATATAAGCCTAAAGCTAACAGAAACTTTTATTTATATATGTTCCTGGCAAAATTTAAGAAGTAATACAAGTTGTTCAAGTCCTGTAGTTATTGGCAAGAGAACTCATATATGCAAAGTGCTGAGTTGAGCAGAGTGGAGATTAAGGAAAAAGGGTACCAGCAGAAATTGATTCTATGGCCCAATACTGGGGCCCTTCCAACCTAGAAAATTGAGCCTAAACTGATAGCCTAAGATCGCTGTTAAAATCACAAGTAAAATTAATACAAATATTAAAGTCCACCAAAGTGAATAACAAGAAGTACTCAATGTTAGCAGACTTTGCATACTACGATCTTGGGGACAGACAAAAACGAGGACTGGTTCCAAGCAATTCTGATTACCCTCAGTAGCTGGAACACTTTACTGTTAATACTTGACAAATTCCTTTTACATATGTAATAATTGATTTAGCTTTCATCTCATGTAAGATAGGCAAGTCAAATCATTATTATCCCTATTTCTTCAGAGATGGAGAAAGCACAATCAAAAGAGGTAATAAACAGGTATGCCCAAGATTGCATGGCTAGTGAGTGACACAGGCTAGAACTAAGAATTTGTGACTTCAAGTTCAGTGTTCCCTCCTTATATCTGGGCTTTTTTTTATTTGAGAAAGAGTCTCTCTGTTGCCCAGGCTGGAGTGCAGTGACATGATTTTGGCTCACTGCAACCTTGGCCTCCCTTAAGAACTGCTTAAGGGTTTGAACAATCTCCTGCCCCAGCCTCCTGAGTAGCTGGGGTTACAGGCACATGCCGCCACCCCTGGCTGATTTCTGTTTTTTTAGTAGAGACAGGGTTTCACCATGTCGGTCACGCTGGTCTTAAACTCCTGACCTCAGGTGATCCACCGCCTTGGCCTCCCGAAGTGCTGGGATTATAGGCATGAGCCACCAATGGTATGGAATACCAATTTGGTATTCCTGAGGGGATGGCTAGGAACTTTGAAGCCATTACTTACTCTTATTCCTCACATTTTACTGATCATCAAGTCCTAGAATCAGTTTTCTTAACTTGATGGTTAAAATAATCTGGTTTCCTTGCCTCCAATCTCTTCCTATAATTGTTTATTTCCTCATCAGAGCAATAAACTTTCTCAAACATATCTGTTCCTGCCACTCCAAAGGCACATTTATCTGAATAATATATAACATATATTAAAATTATATAATTAAAATAGATTGAAATAAATGATTTCAGTTTACAATTGTGTGGAAAATGACTTTTCCTTAAGCTAGGTTTTTTTGTCAAACATACCGTTCATTAATAGAAACATATTGTTATGTAAGCAGTAACTAAATCATCCTTTTATATTACTCAGTTGAAATGAGATAGTTCTAAGCAAACTGACTGCCAAAGTTGCCCTACCATACAGAAATTCTGAAATCGGGGGGTGACCTCATGAAATCATGCGAGAACCTAATTACTAAACCACCACCTATAGTTTCACTATCAAAGACTGGTTATGAAAAAGAATAGACAAGGAAGAAGGAATACCCACTTGACCATGACTTGCAAAGAGTTTCAAGAAAAAGGACATAATCAAAAGTAACCAATCATGTAAAAAGTCAACTAAGAGTAACTTAAGAAGAAAAGACTTTAAAAAATCAAGTTTGGTAACAACCCAATGGGGGTACATCAACATCATTTTCAGGAAGGTGGTAGGAGAAAGACGACAAAATACATCGAGTTCAATGGGAAATTAAGATGTAGAAGTCAGTGGCTCTTTCTAGATGCTCTGCTTTAAAAGGAAGGAGAAAAGATAGGAGCTAGAGAGATTTCAAGGTCAAAGGGATATTATTTTCAATGGGAAAGACTTGGTCAAGTTTTGTGTTTGTAAAGTCAAATATAAGCTGGCAGACAAGGGAGACCCTAGATTTACTCTGGGAAATAAAAATGAAAGCAAGGACATCCAGTGAGAAATGGGCTAGGTGATGTAAAGGGAGAAAAGGCTAATTTTACATCTGGTTAGAAAAGAGTAAAGGAAGGAGACCTCTAATATATTGGGAGCAGTACTGACAGCCCACCTGAGATCAAATTCAATGAACTCCTTGGATGGAATCATAATTGATTAAATTTTCCTTAGAGACAGCAGGATAGGAAAAAAAAAGAGGGCAATGAGGGTGCTACCATTAGAATGGTAAAAGGGATATCCTTGTAGTGCTCTATTTAAATAATCACACTGGCGAGGTGAGTTTTTGCTTTACCTCTCTGAATCAACAAACCCCTTGGAGAGCAGGAGCTATGTACTTTCTTTTGTTTACCCTTTTTAACATTCTGTTATAAACAGTGCCCAACAGAATGGATATGACAAATATCTGTTGAGTGACTAAAGCATTCTTTCTCATTAGACGTATCATATCCTTATTTGTTTCAACTTAAATTTCATAAATTCTATTAAGACTTCTTTAATTCATGGCTGGCTGCTTAGAAGCATCCACAAAGCAAAGTCCACAAATAGCAGCCAGTTAATAAATAATTTATATCTGATGAGGCAACATGATCAGAATAACCTTTCCAGAATCACTTCCACTAATCTGTCACATTCTAATTATCAATAATCCATTCTCTATAAATTACAAAGATCAAAATCTTACCCACATCTAATTAAGTTGACTTTTCCCACCCCTGCTCTATTCCACTGATTTTCTACTTTTCTTCTTAGATATATCTCTGAAACCTCCAACTACTATCTTGTGTTGTGTAACTTTCCTTCCCATTCAAACAATCCTGCGTTACCTTCACTCATCCGGAAGGCCTCTTCACCTTTTCCTGGTTCTGTCAGAACAGCCTTTTCTGATGGCAGAGTTTTCCCAATTCTAACTCTCTTGGTTGAAGTTTTAGCTTTAAAAAGAAAGTCTTAATTTATTGTTCTAGTCACAGTATTTAAATTGTTTTAATCATATTCTACTCTCTGAATAACAATTTCAACACATATTATAATGTGGTTTTTTTTTTGCAAAATATACCCAATTTTGGGTGGGAAGACTACTGCTATTATAAAATAGAAGAATTCTAATTTAAGAACATTCAAGAACAGAAAATCAAACACCACGTTCTCACTCATAGGTGGGTGCTGAACAATGAGAACACATGGACACAGGGAGGGGAGCACTACACATTGGGGTCTATTGGGGGAATAGGGGAGGGACAGCGGTGGGTGGAGAGCTGGGGAGAGATAGCATGGGGAGAAATGCCAGATATAGGTGAAGGGGAGGAAGGCAGCAAATCACACTGCCACGTGTGTACCTATGCAACAATCTTGCATGTTCTTCACATGTACCCCAAAACCTAAAATGCAATAAAAAAAAGAAAAAAAATATTCAGTTTAATCTAAACATTTCCTTTTGTTCCCAGTTACCATTTTCCAAACAACTATGCTTTTCTATCTTCTTTTCCCAGAGTGTTCTATGAATGTTTTTCTAATTTGTTCCATAAGCCTGTGGGACTTTCCTAGTATTTTGTTGTTAGTTAAGTTAAATTTTTTGAAAGTTTTTTTTTTCTTTTCTTCTTTTTGGAGACAAAGTGTCTCATTCACTGTTACCAAGGCTGGAGTGCAGTGGCACGACCACGACTTACCACAACCTCTACCTGGGCTCAAGTGATATCTCGCATTAGTCTCCTAAGCATCTGGGACCACAGATCCATGTCACTGTCCCTGGCTCATTTTTTAATTTGTTTTGTAGAGAGAAGAGTCTTGCTAGGTTGCCCAGACTGGGCCGAACTCCTGGCCTCAAGCGATTCTCCTACCTTGGCCTCCCTAAGTGCAGTGCTGAGACAATAAGTAGAGCCACAACATTGGGCCTCAAGACATTCTTACTGGAAATTATTTTTATCTCCCTCAGGTTCAGAAAGTGAGCTGCCCTACTATTCTGTATCATTACAATATTACTTTAAAACAAAACAGTTCCTTTATAAATTGTTCTAAATCCTAAGTCTAAGTAAAAACTGGGAGGCAATCTGATGTAAATATTCTTCTATTTATCAAAAGTTGTCTTTTCCCCACAATACAAATGTTTCATTTTCATTCCAATTCTAATTTGGCTACTTTAGTTTGTTTTCTGTTTTTTTGTCATTCTTTCTTGGAGTATAACTTGGAGTAAGTTCTGCTGTATAACTAAAAAACTGTGAAACTTGTACACAGTTCTTTGGAAAATTTATTGTTGACTGTAGCTGTCTGTTGGCTTCTGATACCAATACTGGGTGAAATTATTGGTAATGCCACACATGTATTTTAAAATTAATTTTAAATGAAATCCCCTCATAAAACAGAAAGATTACTACTTCCAAGTATCTACCTGCTAAGCGTCTTTCAATCATGGTTTTTAAATCTTCTTCTGTAACATTCTCATTTACTGGAGCCACTTGGGACGAGGCTTCGAGTTTTGTCTTTTTTGTGTCCACAGCTCTCTTCTTTCTATTCCCTTTTTTATCTGTGGGACTGTCATTTTTGCTTTGTGTTAACTCGACTTTTAAATCATTATCTCCATCCTCCTCCTCTCCACTTCATCAACAGTAACAAAATTAAGTTCTTCTTTTAGGTTGTTAAAATCAGCCAGAGAGTCTTCATCCTCTTCAGTTACTTCATCCAAAGTCACTAAATGCAAATCACTGCTGTCATCTTGTATTTCATCTACAGTAACTAAAGTAGAAGGGTCTTCAGGCATCTGAGAAGAAATGAAGCCAATAGATTCCCTTACAGTGTCTCCTTCATTTCCTTTTGTATTTAAAGTGGCAAAAGTTATGTCTGCTGACTCATTCAAAGGTAGCTCTTCCACTTCTCCAATTTCATCCACAGTTACCAAGCGCTCCTGTTTGAGAAGATCTTGTTCTTCAGCCACTGACAGAACAGTAACATCTTTAGGTTCACTGTGGGAAATGCAATCATCTTGGTCAATTAATTCATCTAATGTAAAAAGTGAATTTGAATTTTTTACCATTTCTTCCATATTTAGTTCTTCTTCATCAATTACTTCATCCACAGTGACTAGAGCTTGTGCTAGATGTGCAGCTGCATCTTCTTCTTCCCCAATCTCATCCAATGTTACAAAAGATAGTTCTCCCTCAACACCACGAGGGGCTGAAGTTTTCCCCTTTTTCTTCTTTAGGTTAAGTTCAGAGAACGGAACATTTCTGAGAGCTTCTTTCTTTTTTCCCTTTAGTGGATTCTGCTTGGCTTGAGAAGGATTCACTTCTTCTATAACCTCATCCACAGTAACAAATTCATCCAAATTAAATGGAAATAATGGTTCCTGTTGGAAAGTTAAAAATCATAGTATTGTAAACAAACTTTGAACACTGCCTAGATTCCAAATAGTCACAATAACTGTGCATGCAGATCATCTGGGAGAATTTCGGTGCTAATTAAGTTCTCTAAAGGCTAAAATTAAGAGTTGTTTTTTTTAAAGCCCCATAAATGACTTAGCTATAATTCACAAAGTGTAAGCCAAAGGTAAAGTCCTAACAATATCGACCTAATTCCACTTCTTAAATTCACACATTTTCTAAATGATGAGTTTTGAAGTATGACACATAAAAATATTACATTTAAAGCATTTGTCAAACAATATAAAGGATTTACTATTCCATATGTCAAACATCTAACAAGTGTTCTAGGAGACTTACTGGACCTCTAAAAGCACCTCGAATATAGTTAGAAAGTAAACAGCTAATTAGACTGTTCCATTTATCACTGTATATTGGTTACACATTAATTAACTATAGAATACATATTTTAATAAATACAATGGTTACATTTTGAGAAAGTTGTATGGAAAAGTTGTTAAGACTCAATATCTAATATAATTGTATTTGAAAACAAAGTATCTGTAATTTTTAAAATACTTCCAATAGTAAAGAAGATAAATTCCTGCCAGGGCTCCTGTACATTTTAGTATGTTATCAGTGATCAACTGCTATTATATATAACAATGATATTAGAATACGAAGGAATCTTGTAATAGGGAGAATTATCTGCAAACAGTTGTAGTACCAACTTAACAAAGCAAAATGAAGTAGCCGTAATTCTTATTTCTGCTTTAAACTAATAACGTTTCTCCTTGCCCCAAATACAGAGGCACAAATTCATCCCCTACCAGATAATAAAAGTAAAATGACTGAAACAATATTCTATGAATGGTAAAAATCTGAAATACTCAACAACCAAACATAAAATATGTTTGTTTGGCAACAAAATGTGGTACCAGTAAAGTAAATCTTACAGACCATCCACCATTCACTTAAGGTTAAATTAGAGCCAAAAGAATAACCTGTTTTAACAAAATTAGGATGAATCAAGTCAAATGTCAGTCATTCTCCTTTACATATATGATTTTTTTTTCTGTGTCTACAACCTATTCCTGTCAGTAGGAGATTGGAGGTATTTTCCTATTCTACTCTCTTACTGTCCCCATATAACATTTTGCTCCTTCACCAAGAACACAAGGTGTTTAGGCTAACTCAAGGTCAGAAAGTAAATTAATGGTAGGATTAGAGGTAAATTAAAAATAAAACATCTCATTCCTATCCCTTGCTTTATACCTCTACCTCTCTAACATTTGTATTAACTATTATAAGGCAGACACACGTTGTAAGATAGATGCACTGTGTTATGGAGCGATGAAAAAAAAGCGTTAGGGTCCATGATCTACTTTTTACCTCTTTAGATTTGGAACTTCTACCAGCAGCACTTTTAGAATTCTTAGTGTTTTGTCCAGCCAAAGTCTGAAATAGTAAATAAGAAATACAGAAAAACAGGATTTACAACCAGATTATTAAATGGTATTTTAAAAAACCCAGAAATAATTACCAAAATATAGTCAGTTATGCAAATATTTAACATATATACAAAGCTAAGTCAACAGTCATTAACAGTACAGGCACAGTCTCTACAAGTTGTAGTTAAATTCAGTTTTACTGATCTTTTCTTCCCACAATGTCTAGTTGGGCAGTCAGTGACCTGATAGAAGAAGGTTCAATTTAAGAGAGGAAACAGTTTTCCATTCAGAAGCAAAGTAGTAAATCACCTTAGGAGATTCACTGCAGATTTTTTTTTTTAAATCAGTTATTTCTGACCAAACTTTTTCCAAATAATGCTTTTCAAACCTGTCAATAAATTATGAACTCAAGCTTAACATTCTAAATGCACACTGGCTTAAACAATGGAATCATTTAAGAAAAGAAAATGGAAGCTTCTGGGGTGGAGTGAGGAGATGAAAGTATTAAACAAAATTACATCTCCTACTCCATAGCTACACCAGCAGAGCTAATCACTTCAAAGACACACTGAGCCATTCTTCCTACCCTCCTCACCTTATTGTTGCTGTCATCCCGCTTCACGATGGAAGGTCTAGCTTCTGTTTCCTGAGATTGTTTTGTTATATCCCTGTAATCCAGTTTAGAAAGCTTGCCTTGCAGGGCTGAGATCTTTCCACTGCCTCCTCTGGTAAAACTGCTCTGAGTGGGTTTCAATTTACTGCTTTCTGCCAAGCCTGACCTGGCACTTGTAGGTTTAAGTAGAGCAAATTCCTTGGCCAAAAGTTTCTTTTCAGCATTTATTTGATCTCTAAGCGCAGATTTTAAAAAACTTTTCTGATTTTCAGGTTTCGAAGCTGTAGCTTTTGCCTTAGGAGAAGAGACTACAACAGCCTTGATGCTTGATTTATTGCTAGATACACTGGATACTGCCAGAATACTAGTCTTACTAGTTTCATCAGGATTAGTAGCCTGACCCACTCCTTTATTTGGGTATGTCTTGAATAAAGTATTTTCTGCAGGCTTTTCTTTCACTGACGCCATCATCTTTTCCACCTTCTCTGCAACCATCCTACCTTCATTCTTTTCAGCCTTCTCTGTTCCTATTTGAAGATCCATTCTGATTTCCTTAGTTATATTAAATTCATTCTCCTCCTTTTCATCCATGTTACTTTTTTTTCAGAAATACTCTTTTTGCCCACTGTCTTCTCATCCCCAGTGGAAACTCCTGGTACTAATGTCACAATACAAGCTGATGGCAATATTTCTGAAACAGTTTCAGGTTTTTCTACTTCGGCTATAGATTCTACCACAGACTGTGTAACTCCAGAAAAGAAATCTTCTGCTTCAGATGGAGATTCTTCTATAACTCCTTTGATGTTCCTTTCTTCTATAAACACACTGTCAGATGGTAACAATGCTGTTTCAGGGTTAATAATTCCTGCGTCTTTCTTCTCCAAGTCACTGTTATACACCTGCTGATTTAAAGCACACTCCTCGGCATTTTCAGTGAATAGTTCAATACTGGCTGGAGTGGATGCTACAAGAGGAACTTCTTCTTTGACCTCCTCCCCTTGAGTTTCAACCTCCAATGTTTCAACAGCAAAGTCAGAATCACATGTTACTTTTTCAGGTTCTTCCTCACAAGGCTCCTCCTGTTGTACCAAAATTTCTGTTTGCATGTTGGGTGTACTTTCTTCTTCGAGCTCATTAGGTTTAACAGAGGGACTATCAGTTGCTGTTTGGACCTCACTTTCATCAACTGGATTGTTTTTCAAGCCAGGGCTAAAAGTATTTAAAAACAAACAGAAAGAACACAAACAAAAATCAAACTATGATGAGAATTCAACCATTATAAATAATCCTGTTGATGCCAATTGTTAAGACTTCCTGATGCATTAGTAATAAGCACTGGGAAATCCAACCAATCAGCATTAGGATGATTAAGATGTTTTGATGCAAATATGTAATATAAATTATGACTGTTGATATGTTCCTTTTGCACTTGTGATTATAGCCAATATCTTCCTTCCTGTGTCAAGTTAACACCTAACATTGAAAGGCCAAATGTAAATTTTAGACACTTCAGATATTATCAGGTCCTATTCCCAACAGTGGTAACTGAAATAAAATATATGTGTACAGTTCTACAATGAAACTAATGATCCATGCACTATGATTTAAAATTCAGTGATAAAAAGAATATAAACAGAAATTGGTGAGGAGAAGAGACCAATACTGCACATAACACCTCTTTTGCTTTTTTGGATGTAGAATATTTTTTTAATTACCCAATAACTGTATTATTAATAATACTTAAAAGAAAACTTTTTTGAAAGTATTCTTTGTATACTCTATTGAAGATTTAAAGTTAGTGACAAAACCTGATACAACCACCTTACATAAACATATAGTCTTATTATGGATAAATATTTGCCTTTGGCTATAAGAAGAAATAAGTTAAAAAATAAATCTTCCCAATTAAAGAGAACAATGTATATTCTAATATTTAACTTAAATGTTTAATATTATTTAGAAGAAATGGAGGAAATGCATGGCTAAGTTATATAACTCATCTTATTTCATCATGATCTTTCCAAATCTAAAGTATATGAAAAGTATGTGATTCTATAATTCCAGTACTTTCACTGAGGTAGATACAGAGTAAGTTATTTTTATATTAATATTCTACAAATCAGAGGTTACTTTGAAGGACAAGGAAACCCTTAGCTTCCAAAAACAACACCCAACATGCTATCAACACAAATTAAAATTTACCAAATATATTCACATAATGAGAAGCAGCAGGTTGGAGAAAGACACCGGAAAGTGATTCTATCATATCAATACCTGATTATTAACAAGTATTGGTTTTCTTCTCCTAATTTTTAAGGAGGGAGAGGATGAACCATCCCTTTTGACTCGCTTCTTAAAGGGTGCCCATGTACCCTTTAGTTAACACAGGATAACAGCAATATCTATGTGCTGAGACAGTAATCATATTTAAGAAGTTTAGAATAAGTCGTGCTACAACATCAGGGTCTTATATCATTTGAACTAAACTAGTCTTTCTTCAAGCACCAAAGATTACATCCTGAGGATAAAACTTTTCTACCAGATTAAAGAAGTATCTCTTGACCATAAATCTTAATCAATATTCTATTGATTGTGCAAGTTATTCTTTGCATGCTAAACTGGCTTTTATTTGAAATGATCATATACGTTTTATTTAAAATATCAATGGCTAATTTTAACAGTTTCAAATTTTTACAATTCAAAATAAAATTTGTGGCAAAGCACAACAGTGAAAAGAAAGAGTAGTGGCATTCACAGTTACAGCAGGTATATGAATATTATTTCTCAAAACAAGCTTTTATCTTTAAATTACAAGACTCATTTCCAATAATGAAGAATATATTCAAATTCCTGCCTCATTACTATACTACCTATTAACCCTACATAAAAGCTTTAGAAACTTAGGGCTATGTAAAAACATCTATGGGGCTAGGATAACAATGGAGACCTTGATTTCTGGCTCGGGCATATAGCGAGACTTTTCCCTTTACCATATTTAAAATTTTTCAATAAAAAATTATCTTTTATACAATCTGAACCATTAAGCAGTTCCATACTTGAATCAGAGAACTCAGGTCGACTCAGAAAATTATTTAGTTCCATATTTGTCCTTGTGTGCTAGTCTTATAAAATCACAGTGTTTTATTTAGAGAAGTCATTTACCAAAACTAGTATCTGCTTTCTGACTAATATGGGGGAAAGCCTCAGTATTGATCAAGTTAGTCTGAAAAGACAATTTGCAATGTCAAATGACATTAACACCAAAGTTAAACAACCACTTTGTGAAGATCAAATGAAAACACAAGTCATATTCTGGGAAATACAACGTAAAAGGATTCCAGAAAGGCATTGGAGATACAGATATCGCATTTGCCACCCCTCCCTCCTGCCCCCATATACCAATAATACCAGAATTTCACAACCTTCAGAAAAAGCATGCAATAAAAGCTGGGCATGAGAACAAACATAAACACTGAAATATAAATATCGTGAGAAACTTTAGACTGGGACTTCATAATACTAAAGATTAATGTTTATTTCAGAGACTAACTGGGTACTTCCTAACATTAATGAATTAGAAAACTTTCATCTAGCATTTTTATTTGTGGCCTTAATCACATGGTAAATAAAACCTGTTTCCATTTCAACAGGATGAATACAGACATAATGTGAGTTATTAAATTATGAATGTACCCACGTGAAATTTCCTCTAAACAGTATTTAAATAGTTTACATTAGTTATAAACAAAAGCATCATATTCATGATGAATTGGCAACCACAAGTGCTTTAAAACAAAACAAAACAAAACAAACAATTGCATGTAGTACCAGCTACACAGGAAGCTGAGGTGGGAAAAGAGCTTGAGCTCAGGAGTTCAGGGCCAGCCTGAGCAACATAGCAAGATCCTGTCTCTAAAAAAAAAACACAACAAATAGTATTTTCTCAGTCATGAGTGTACTCTAAAAGAAACCTTTAGTATTCTGGACCTATCCCACATCCTTTTCTCTAACCTAAGTAAAAAAAGGGGGGGGGGGATTAAGTTTTTGGTGCTGATTTTTAAAATTAATTTTATGAGGTTGAACATTATCTGTAAATTCATAAAGAAATATATTCAATTTTAAAAGCTATGTCTAAACAATGAGAGAACAATAACCAAATGCTACTGCTATAGACAACAACTTTTCATGCAGACCTCAAGAAAACTGTGTAAAATGAAATAAAATGGGTTTTGCCATAGAGTTACTGTGGCCAATCTTTAGGTCTGTGTATACTACTACATAGGCACCGTTTATTAAGCCCTTCTTGGGCTTTCGCATCACACACTCCTAGTGGTATTATTTCTTAGGTATGTGAATGTAATTGGTATGATGACATACAACTTTAAAAACCCTGTGCTGACACAAAGAGCAAACCTATTACTTAAAGTTACTGATGTATTTTAATGTACTCATCATCTTTATCAACTAAAATAATCTGATTTTATGAAAATTAAATACTTAGAAGAAAAATCTGTAAGACATTCTGTTTTTCAGGGATCTTAAAATCAGTACATCAAATAAACACTTTCCATATTTAAACATTTTTCATATTCAAACACTTTCAAACTGCTGTTTCAAACAAATATAGGCTCTTACAACAAGGACTAACAAATACTGATAAATCAATTAGTATACAGGAGGAAAAAGAAATATTCTAAATCAGTGATTCACATGAAGAGCAATGAAAGGCAAGTCACCTTGGTGAAACAAGGGTGGTCATAAGGAGGACATCCATCGGAATAAGAAAGTTACTAAGAAGAGGGTGTACTTTATGTGGTCAAAACAAGGCTGTGAGTCACCAGTTTGTGGAGACTTTGAAGAACAAGCTTTAATTCCTCTGATAATGCAAAACCATATATATAAGTTTTCTGGACAAATATGTATTTGCCCCCACCCAGTTGTTTTTTAAAAAGTATCAAAATACACACTGAAATTAAGTAACTTTAAAAGGTTAAAATTTTACTATAGTGTTTTAGAAAAGAAAAACTTAACAAAAACAATGTAATTACTGTTCATGGAGTTGAGAGTCTTAAAATATTTTCTAAAGTGATGTTTATTTAACTCAAACTGTTTATATATGCAGTTACGCTAATATTCCATAAGTACTTGAATGAGAGTAAATAAACAAAAACAACAAGCACAACTAGGTCAGGCAGAACTCCAAAAGAAAACTATAACAAGCCCATACGTACACAAAATAAACATGTAGAATAGGAACTTTTCACTCCATGTGAGCCATTAACTATGAAATACAGCAATGAAATTCAGAAACGAAATGCTATATAAAAGTGTTAGTAAACATAAAGCAACATACCTTTCTTTTTCTAATTCTGGGTCTTGCTCGGTTTGCACCTGTAACATAAGCAGCATTTTATTAAGAGGCTATTCGATTGGATTTGAAATATTTAACTATCAAAGTAATGTTTTTAGTTAAAATTTAAGCTCAAAAATGAAAAAAAACAAAAACAAAACCCTTGAAAAATGTATCAAAGCAGCTAGAGAAGTGTTTACATTACGATCAAGTTCTAGAATGTTTTCTAAGTAGATAAAAACCTCCAAATTAGGTCATATGCAATAATTTATATCAAGCAATTAATGAGAAAAATAAATTTCCTTAATAATGACACATACAAGAAACTTTTTTAAACCTTAAAAGTCTGGAAATACCATCTCTTGCCTAGAATAAAATCAATAAATGTGAAATATCAGTATCTTCTTTGCGGAATTATTTTAAAAGACTTCTATTATAAGAGAGATCAGCCGACTAAAAAAGTTTCCTGGCTGGGCACGGTGGCTCAAGCCTGTAATCCCAGCACTTTGGGAGGCCGAGGCGGGTGGATCACGAGGTCAAGAGATCAAGACCATCCTGGTCAACATGGTGAAACTCCGTCTCTACTAAAAATACAAAAAATTAGCTGGGCATTGTGGTGCGTGCCTGTAATCCCAGCTACTCAGGAGGCTGAGGCAGGAGAATTGGCTCAACCCAGGAGGCAGAGGTTGCGGTGAGCCGAGATTGCGGCATTGCACTCCAGCCTGGGTAACAAGAGAGAAACTCCGTCTCAAAAAAAAAAAAATTTCCTATTCAAAATACCTAGAAATGCTGGACAAAATTGAACGAGAATCCTTTTAAGGATCTGTCTGATATCTGATAAATATTTTAAATATTTATCTGATATGTGGGCCCCAAGAAAGCAATATTTGGGAGCCCCAAAAAAGGCAGAAATTAAAAATCAATCCTTATATGCCAAGCACTGTCCTAGCTACTTGTGATGCATCGGTGAACAAAATGGCAAAAATATCTGCCATTTAGAGCTTATACATACTAGAAGGAAGCCTCTTCTGAGAAATCATGCATTCTCTGGGTAGAAACTTTCTTTCTAGAAAGATTTTATAAGACTGAAAACAGTACTTTAAGGAAATTCAGTGGATCTAGAGAGGATTCCTGGCGTAGGTGTTGGGAGTCCCACAGTAAAGACTTCCTTTTACTGGGATATCTAGTTATGCCAGTGAAGTGATTAACAAGTCTAGGAAGAAACTATTATTAGGTTGGTGCAAAAGTAATTGCAGTTTTTGGCTATTAAATACAGGCAATCCACCTGCCTCAGCCTCCCAAAGTGCCAGGATTACAGCTGTCAGCCAGCCTGCCCAGGCTGCTGTATTTTTTTAAATCCTAGGATGGAATGTATATACACTGTAACAAAAGAATATCACTGTATTGAAAATGTATAAAATAACCTCCCTAAAGGGAATGAGTGAGAAAGGTGCTGACCTAACGTAGCTTTGGATGTGAGGGAAGTCTAGAAGACTAAAGGCAGAAGGTGCTGTCCGTAAGCACTGTGCTCTGCTGGCAAGTTGTTTCCCACCGATTCAATTTAGTGTTGAAACCGTTATACATGTATACTGGAATCGAACAACTGAGCCAATAGATAGTGGGTTGTAGGAGCCAGGTTTCTCACTGTTAGAGTAAGAGTTTACAGACGAGCACAGGGAAAAGCTAGAAGGATCTGTGTGATAATGAATTAGAACTGGAGTCATCAGTATAAACTCATGTTTAGTTTAATATAGAGACAGATGGTTACATATAGACATATTTATAGCTATATCTCTGTACTGTTTGGTATATACACATGTATTTCCCTGATCAATCAACTGAGAGAGCCTGGAAGCAATGACACCTCAGTAACAATGAGCATATCTAGGGCCCAGCTCTCAATTTCCAGTATCATTCTCCAATAAAAGTAACCAGGGGCCTTAGAGAAATGGCTGATTTTAGGGTTGGTGAAGAAAAGATACAAGATGAGCCGAAAGCATTCTGTAGTGATAGAAAATAAGACAGTACTTTAAAAAAGGCAATAACAGGATGTGTCAAAGGAACACAGAAGCCAACGGAAAGAGCTACCAATTGCCAGAGCTGGAACAATTTTCTGAAAATAAAACATACATGTAGCATTGTATTATACCCTAAATTATAAAAAAAAATCCATACTGATTTTTAAAAAGGTTAAATAAGTAAATGGGGAGAAGAGACAGATCTTCCTGCAGAAGAATTAAGCAAATTCTCAGGACTTTATATCCTAAGATTCTGAATTAGCATGTCCAACGTTATTCCCAGAAATCTGCAGCTTTACAAAACTCAAGTGATTCTGGTGTAGATGGTTTCCAATCATACTCTGAGAGACACATCTCTTCCTAGGGTGTCTTATTTGAAAATGCTGTCAAGTACATGACACAGCTGAGAACTGGTTGGGGTCATTGGGCTCCAGTAATCTGCACTGAAAGTGTGACTCTGGCCATCAGTATAGCCTGTGATAAGAATCCTACCATGATAAAGAAAAAATACGACAGGACCCTGGACATGGAGAAGAACAGCATCAGTGAAGAATCCAACACTGCTAACTCATTTATTCACTCATTCATTCATTTTATTTCATCTTTAAGGACTTGTTTGCTTGAGGTACTGTCTAGATGCTGGAACTAAAAATGGTGAGCAGGATATCCCTACCCTTGAGGAAATGGTAGTCCAGTCAGAAATACAGATGTCAATCCAAGTTTCACACAAGCACATGTACAAAAACCCCCAGGACAAATGCTATGAAGGAGAGGTGCCCAGCACTCAAGGGCTTTCACTGGGGATGGACGTGACTCTTGAACTGAGATTTAGGTAATTAACTAGCTCAAAGGTGGGAAGAGTCACTTTCTGCTCTCATTTGAGGTCATAATCAGTTTCGGTTACTAATGTTAGAACAAGCAAAAAAGAAAAAAGGCAGAGCAATGAGGATCTTTTGGGGAAGGCTGTGTCTCTGTATCTGGAAGACTAATTTCTCTCAGACATCTTATCTGTGCACCTTGTGGGTCATGCTCTCCTTCCACATGAGAGGAAAAGCGTCACTGCCCCAGAGGCACAGAGAGCTCAAGACACAATCTTTCCTTCCTGCCCCCATTCTCTGGCATACACAAAGCCAATTTCCAGTCATGACAAATGAAACAAATTATTCATGACAGGCTATTTTCAAGATAAAGCTTTGGGCATACCCAGAGCAGTCCATCACTCTGAACTCCTTCTCTGGAAATTTAAGAAGTAAAGCTGCCTACTGGTCCTAGACAGCCCAGAGCACTGCTTGGACCCTGTTTGCTCTCTCATACAATAGCCATCCTCATCCCCATCTTTATACCATTTCTACCAGAAGAGAATAGCCCAAAAAGTAAAGTTTTGTTTTTGTTTTCTCAAGGCAGCGTCAAGTGGTGCAATCAAGGCTCACTGCGGCCTTGACCTCATATGCTCAAGCGATCTTTCCACCTCAGCTTCTTGAGTAGGTACTGACTGCAGGCATGCACCACCATGCCCAGCTTTTTTTTTTTTTTTTTTTTTTTTTTTTAGAGACAGGGTCTCATTATGTTGCCTAGGCTGGTTTTGAAATCCTGAGCTCAAGTGATCTTCCCACCTCAGCCTCCCAAAGTGATAAGATTACAAGTGTGAGCCACTGCAACCAGCCAAAAAAGGGAGGAAGAGGTAAGGTTTCTTATTCCTCTTTCCTCATTTACCCATGGTTGTGGTCAGTCTACAATCTCCACCAAGGAAGAATTAGGAGATGGGAGAGTCATGAGCTCTTCTCAGTATTTCAAAACTTCAGGAAAAATTAGATAGTTAACCACATCAAGCCCTTCTCTTTTATTGGGTTGCGTACAAGGAATAAATAAATAAAGCCTTCTCAGTTATCCTAGGATCAAGTCTCTGCTTTTCAGTGGAATCACCTCAACTTTATGTTGCAGTATGATGATCTTGCACTGACCAGATATCACAACTGACCACTGAATGTTTTCAACACATGGTTTAAAAAATAAATTCTTGCATAGTAGATAGAGTTTGCCAATAAATCTATAAAAATTTACTGTGGTGTTGGAGGGGTGAAAGTGTAACTAAAGAGGTTCTCAGTAGTGCAAAGACTGGGAACACTGGTGTAGCAGAGAACTGGCTTCAAATCCTGGCTTCATCTCTTCTAGCTCTGTGGACTAGCTTACCTTAACTTTTCAAATCCAGATTCTTCCTGTTATAAAGTGAGATAATATCAGCCTCTCTGGGCAGTTTGGAGAATCAGAGGTATAGCAAATAGTGTAGCACCTGATGCAGTGGATTGTCCTCCACCCAGGTGAAGTTCTAATGAGGATGATGGTGGTGATGATGATGATGGTAATAATGGTGATGCGGATGATAGTGATGGTGATACTAACGATGATAATGATGATGATAATGGTGATAGTGATGGTGACAATGATGATGATGACAGTGATGATGACAATGAAGACTTCTCACCCACAGAGACTGGCTCAATTGGTTTGCCATAAGGTCGGGCATAGTACTATTTTAAAGCTTCCCAGATGACTAATGTGCAGTCTGGATTGACACCCACTGTCCTAGTCCAGCAGACCTCAAACTCTTTGATCTCAGGACTCCTTTATACTCTTAAAAATTAGTGAGAACACCAAAGAAGTTTGTTTTAAACACAAAAACATATACATATCCCTTCAGCCATTAGATTGATGACATTATCACATTATGTAGCCCCTAAAAAACTCCACTGGACACTAGTAAAAAGAAATGAGAGGGCAGCCTGGCCAACAAGACGAAACCTGTCTCTACTAAAAATACAAAAACTAGCCAGGAATGATGGTGCACACTTGTAATCAGCTAATCAGGAAGCTGGGGCATGAGAATTGTTTGAACCCTGGAGGCGCAGGTTGCAGTGAGCCAAGATTGCACCACTGCACATGAGCATGGGTGACAGAGCAAGACTGTCTCAAAAAAAAAATGAGAGGGAAAAAAAATTATGTCTTGTACTGTTATGAAAGTTGTTTTGGCTTCATGGACCTCCTGATGCTACCTTAGGCTAGT